TCAGGTTGGCTTGGTGGCTGCAGGGAGCTGTTTCTTCAGTAACTGTCTTTCTTAAAATAAGTATGTGTGGGGCTGGAGAGATGGCTCAGTGGTTAAGAACACTGGCTGTTCTTGCAGAAGACCTAGGTTCAAATCCCAGCATCCACATGGCAGCTAATAACTGTCCGTAACTCCAGTTCCAGGGGATCCAACAGCCTCTTCTGTCCTCCGCAGGCATTGCAAGACACAGGTGCACTTATCTATATGCAGGCAATACACACATACACATAAAAATAAACAAAATATAAAAAAAAATAAGTGTGTATATAGATACACACGCAGAGGACATGTCATTTGCCCACATTACCTCTATTCATGCTGCAGATTGTTATAGCTGCTGTTATTCAGTATTTGCTTAGAAAATAGTTATTTGAGGAACTGCACAGATGTATAAAATCAAATCTTGGCCCTGTACTTGGGAGGCAGAGGCAGGCAAATCTCTTTGAGGAGGAGGCCAGTCTGGTCTATATAGTGAGTTCTAGGCCAGCTGTAGGTTATCAGTAGAACTCTGTCTCAAAACAACAACAAATGCTAGCACTTTAATCTATTTTCCTTTTTGCTGTTACACTTGGCTTTTCTGTTATACAGCAGGTGACCTTCAACTCTTGATCCTTCTCCTTGGACCTCCCAAGTGCTGGGATTATAAACATGCACTACCATGAGGGATTTTTCTGAGATAGGGCCTCACACTGAAGGTCAGACTGGTCTGGAACTCACTATGTAGCTCAGGAGGGCCTTGAAATTTGCAATGATCCTCCTGCTTCAGCCTCCCCAGTGCAGGGATTAAAGGTGTTGGTGGCGCACACCTTTAATTCCAGCACTTGGGAGGCAGAGGCAGGAGGATCTTCGTGAGTTTGAGGCCAGCCTGGTCTACATTACTAGTTCCAGGCCAGCTGGGGCTACAGGAAAAAGACCAACCAAACAGACCAAAAAACACGAAACAAAACACTTCAAGCCGCCCCTTACCCTCATCTCCTAATTTCCTAATTTATGACAATTATTCCTTGCAAACTTACTTATACTGCTACATCAAATCTTTCAACTCTTCCCTCTGACCTCAGAAAAAGTAGTCTTTTCCCAACACCAACTGAAGATTAATACCTTAATTTATGCATAGTAAAGGACAGTCATAAAGGGCAAGACTCATTAGTTCATTTTCTATTCCATTCCATTCCAACTTCTTTTGCCAGCCCACCTGGCATATCCAACCTCTCTTGATTTCTGCCATTTGCCTAAAATATACTTTAATGACTTCCATTCTTTTTTTTTTTTTTTTTATCTTTTTGAGACAGGTTCTCCCTTGTAGCTCTAGCTGGCCTGGAACTCAAACTGGATATGTAGACCGGGTCGGCCTCAATCTCAAAAGATCTGCCTGCCTGTGCCTCCTGAGTCTTGGGATTAAGGGCACACCTGGCCTTTGGCATCCGTTCTTTAAAAAGAAAAAAGTTATTTATCCTTTTCCCACACTTCACATCTCATTCCATTCCATAGCCTCCATTGCATACTTGTTCTCATGTAGAATCTAGATTTAAACACATATGTATATTACAGAGATGTGTGTGTATATCCCAAGTTGCAGGGAACTGTTTCTTCACAATACACTCTGCTTGCCCTTCTTAAATACGTATATACAGACATACACACAACACACACAGAAGACATGAATAGAAGGGAGACTACTTGGAAACAGAAGGAGACAGAGGAAGGGAAGACTCAGCAAGTGTAACGGGACAAGAGATATGAACGAGCAAAATACTTAATACGCATGCATGAAAATGCCATAATAAAAACCATTATTTTGCCCTTAATCCCAGCACTTGGGAGGCAGAGGCAGGCAGATCTTTGTGAGTTCAAGGCCAGCATGGTCTACAAAGTGAGTTCCAGGACAGCTGGGGCTACAAAGAGACCCTGTTTAAAAACAAAAAACAAAAAACAAAACAAAACAAAAAAACCACAAAAAAAACCCACCATTATTTTGTTTATGTTTATTTTATGTGTATTCATGCATTGCCTGCATATATGTAAGTGCACCCATTTCATGCAATGCCCACAGAGGACAGAAAAGGTTGTCAGACCCCCTGGAACTGGAGTTATGGACAGTTGTTAACTGCCGTTTAGATGCTATAATACTAACTCAGGTCTTCTGCAAGAGCAGTCAGTGTTCTTAATGACTGAGCCACTCTCCAGCCCCCCAAAACATTATTTTTTACTATGAATATATGATATTTTAAAAAGTTGGCTGGGCGTAGTGGCACACACCTTTAATCCCAGCACTCGGGAGGCAGAGGCAGGCAGACCTCAGTGAGTTCAAGGTCTACACAGTGAGTTTCAGGGCAGCTGGGGCTACAGGGAGACCCTGTCTCAAAAAGACCAAAAAAAAAAAAAAAAAAAGTATCTTAAACTGAGCATGGTAGCACATGCCTTTAATCTGTGAGATCCCGGCCAGCCTGGTCTACATGATGAATTCTAGGGCAGCCGGGGCTACCGGGAGACCCTGTCTCAAAAAAAAAACAGAAGCAAAACAGTATCTTAAACTGGGCATTATGGTACATGCCTATAATCTTAGCTACTTGGAAGGCTGAAGCAGGAAGATCTAAAGTTCAAAGCCTGCTTGAACTATAGTTAATTCAGGCCATCCCAGGTACCAGTGAAACACTGTATCAATATAAAAAGTGGCCCAGCATGGTGGCAAGTGTGAGGCCAGCCTGGTCTGTATATCAAGTTCCAGGCCAGCTGGGGCTGAAGGGAGATCCCGTCTCAAAGACAAAAAAGTTTGGAGAAGACTAGAGATATAGTTCAGTGGTAGAGTGCTGGCCTAACATGATCAAGGCCCTAGATTCATTCAACTCCACAGTTTAATTGTGAGGTTTAAACAAGATAACAAGTAAAAACACAACACAGTTCCAGGCACAGATCAAATACCCTGTTACCTTAGCGCAGCACCAGGTTCACATTAAATATCTAACTATTAAATAGTAAAAGTGTACCACAAACAGTATTAAACTCTCTAAACTGCATGAAGACAGAAATGTGACAAAAGCACCATCTACTCACATTCACTAATAAAAATTTTCAAAGGAAAAGCTAAAATTATAGTGAAAGTTACTAAAAGACATTCAAGTATTTTTTAAAAAAATATTTTATTTATTATTTTTATGTGTATGAGTGTTATGCCTGCATGTAGGTAAGTGCACCCATGTCGTGCAATGCCCTGGGAGGACAGAAGAGGCAGTCAGATCCCTTGGAACTGGAGTTAGGGACAATTGTTAGCTGCCATGTGGGTGTTGGGTTTTGAACCCGGGTCTTCTGCAAGAACAGCCAGTGTTCTTAATCACTGAGCCATCTCTCCAGTCCCAAGATATTCAAGTATTTTGAGAGAATTCAAATAGTAAAGATATTGTTATTGCCTGGCGTGGTGGCTGAATGCCTTTAATCTGAGAGTTCCAGGCCATCTGGGGCTACAGGGAGACCCTGTCTCAAAAACACCAAAAAATTAGTAATTTTTTAAAAAAGGTATTGCTATTAAAATGCCAGTGATTTGCTGTATAGGTGAACAAGTTTGCATAGGACAATAAAGTGGACAGAAAAAGCATATACACAGCTGTAGTTTTCCAGGTTGAGAAAGGCAAATTAAACTTGTCCTTGGGAGGAATGCAGCTTCAATGCACAAAATTTCCTTGGCTATACACAAAAGTAAATTAATCTATCTAGAGGGATTAGGAATTGAGGGAGATTTTACTCTGAATCCAAAAATTTTAATACACACAGCCAAAATGAATCTTCTAATATTTAGGGGGGAAATTATTTTAACTCTTACGAGTTGGTGCAAAGCAGCAAGATTTAATAGACTGCAGCAAGCCAGTTGCTAATTCTGAAAAATTATTCTCAGGCTGGAGGAAGGAGCAATCTCATAAAACAAACGTCCTAAAACACCACACATACATAAGAACATACACATCTGTTGTATCAGATTACATTGAGTCAATTTACTAATCAAGTACTATTTAAGTTCTTAAAAAAAAAAATCCTCCTCTACTGGTCACATTTTGCAGGGGTGGCTGGCTACTGCAGACTGAAGTTCTCGCTGACTCAAAGCAAGGAGGGCTGAATAATAAATCCAGTGTTCACACTGAAATATGGGGGGGGAGGAAAGGGAGGCTCCGAAGTCCATAAAGTTCTCCTCCCTCTCTTAACACTGCAAAAATTGTCCACGTCTAAGGACATTTAACCCCAAAACTTGGAGAACAACTTGGAAGACTTTTTGTTCCTATATTTGAGTGGGAGAGATTTAGGAACGCTACACGATTGCAATTTTCATATACAGGGACATTAATTTAGATTTCTACTTCTTTCAGGACATTTCACCGCTTCCTTTTTAAACAGTCGATCAATATACTCTTATTCATAAAATCCCTAACTCAACACTAAGTGTAAATTAAAAGAAAACAAAACAAAAAAAACTTTCAAGAATATGCAAATGAAGCGCACAGGCAATTTCCAATAATCCTTAACTAAGTCACTACAGATGGAGAAGAGAATGGAGAAACGAAGGAACTCCCAATAGGAAAAAAAAAAAATTACAAAAAGAAAGCACTTGGGGAAGGAGGGTCAAGGAGATGACAAAGTAGGAGGGTTAGGCGGGGAGCAGAGCAGAAAAAGTCCAGCTGATGCTGACACTGGGGAGGAGAGGGAGGAACATACCGCAAGATCAGAAGGGCCTGGTGGGCCGGGGCCTCGGGGTGGGGGTGGGGGCAGGGTGGGGGGGGGGGCGCAGGGGGCCGCCGGGGGCTCTGCAGGCAGCAGCGGGGGCGCCGGGGCAGCCGTTCGAGGAAGCGGCCACCGCAGGCAGCCTCGCAGGCCAGTCTGCCTCGAGGGGTGCGGGAGGGCCCCGGGAGCCGCGGACGTGGAAGGGGGTGCGGCCCGGGGGCTGCGGCGGGGCCTGGGCGAGCAGCCAGCCGTACCTTGTAGTAAACGTCGAACTGGATATTCTCCGGCAAGGAGCGGATATCGCGGCGGGAACGGATGTAGTTATCCACGACAGCGGAGATGGCGGTGTTGTAAAGTGTCTCGGGAATCCACTCGAGCTCCGCGGCCGCCATCTTCCCTCGCTCCTCCTCCGCCTCCTCCCGCAAGCCCCCGCCTCCCTCCGTAGCGAACCCGTGTGCGGTCCCGGAGGATTCCGCGGGGCGGCGATGGCCACGGGGGCGCTCCTCACAGGCCCGGCCCCCCGGCCTCCCGCACGCTAACAGAGGGCGGCGGCGGACCCGGGGCCCGGGGAAGAGCGGAGCGGCGGCAATACACAGCACAGCCCCGAACCTCACATTCCGAGCTGGCGCGCAACCCAAGCGCTGTCCCGTAGCCCAGCTCTGCAGGGGCGGGGCTACGCACGCATCATTGTGACGTCAGCACGCGCCGCCGCGCCGTGGGGAGGCTGCAGCAAGCGAAAGACTAGGGGCTAGAGCGCGGTCCGGGCGTCTAGAGTGCTGCAGTGGGGTGGCTGCGGGTGACGTGTTCACCTCCGTGCCTTGGTTTCGGGGGCACAGACAGTGGTAAGTCAGTGAGCCCTGTATCCGAGTCCTTAGACGGAAACCCCCTTGAGCTTTCAGGTGCAGCTTAGAATTGATCCTCTGCCCATAAAAGTGCACAGTTGTCCGTATAGTGAAAATTAGGTGTTTAAGGAATTCACTTAACTCCAGAAATCAATCCCTCCTAAGACCCGGTCCCTACATTTTATTTAGCACCCTCTTTCCAGGTCCCAAAGGAAGACTTGAATTTCATTGTATAACTGCACGTAATTGGAACTTTTTGGTATGTTACTTTATTCAAATAAAATTTTCAAAAAAGGAAAAATTATTTTACAGCAAATCAATGTTTGACACACAGTAGTCAAAAAGTTCTGCAAGAGGAGGCTAGAGAGATGGCTCAACGGTTAAAAGCACTGGCTGCTCTTGCAGAGGACCAGGTTCGGTTCCCAGCACCCACATGGCCGCTAACAACTGCCCATAACTTCAGTTCCAGGGGATCTGATGCCTTCTTCTTACCTCCATGGGCATTGTAGGACACAGGTGCACTTAGATACACGCAGGCAATAGACTCATACACATAATAAATATTTAATTTAGTAAATTTTTTGTGTATTTCATACAAAACATCATTTTAATCATCTTTATACCCCCCTCCCCCATCTGCACCCTCCCATAGCCACCGGTTCTCCCCCACTCCCCCACTGGATTTCATTCATTCTGTCCTTTATGTAAGGGCCTATTGAGTCAAGTTAGTGTACCCAGATGTTCCTTAGTGCAAGTTCATCCCTCCACTGGGGTCTAGTCAGCCTATCTTGAGTCCCTCCCTCCCTTAAAGAAGATCCACTCTCCCAAAGCTAAATTGATGGATGGCAGGCTAAAACACAAACACAATTAGTGGCTTTAAAAGAAAAAACAAACAAAAAAACAAAACAACCCAGCACAAACCTTTAATCCCAGCACTCAGGAGGCAGTGGCAGGTGGATTTCTGAAATCAAGACCAGCCTGGTCTCCATAGCAGTTCCAGACCTACTGGGCTACAAGGAGACCCTATCTCAAAACAACAAAACCACACACACAAACACAGAGTATCCAGGCATGGTGGCCAACACCTTTAATCCCAGGAGACAGAGACAGGAGGATCACTTTGAATTCTTGGCCAGTCAGGGATACATATTGAGGCCCTGCCAAAAAAATAAAAATAAAAAGATAATGGTAGCTACTAGAACTTGATTTGACAGAAATGAAGATTTTTCTCATAGGTTAAAGTCAAGGAGAGATTGTTGAATAATTGGGAGTATGGGTTTCAGCCCTTTTTCTTCAGATTGAATATTTAATTTAATTTAATAAGTCTGATTATAAAAACTTGATGCAACATCTTTCTGAGGAATTTAACAAGGAAACTACTGCTGTAATTGTTGGTGACTGTCTTAATTTCTTAGTCATTCTATAACAATGAAAATCATGAAAACAATGTCCTGGTATTTAGCACTAAAGAACTGATAGAAATTCTTTCAATTTACACTAGACTCTGGAATTTCATTGTGAAATGGTTAATTGATGGAGGAAAAAAAAAAAAGAAACACATGTTTGTTACTTTTCTCATTGCTGTGACAAAAATACCTGACACCAGCAACTTAAGAAAGGGAGGGCTTAAGGCTGGAGAGATGGTTAAGGAGTTAAGAGCCTTCCTGCTCTTGCAGAGAACCTGAGTTTGGTTCCTAGAACACATATATGGCAGCTCACAACCACCTGTAATTCCAGCTCCAGAGGATCTGACATCCTCTTCTGGCTTCTGCAGGCACCCACACATGTGTACAGACACATACATATACACATAATTAAAAATTAAAAAATCAGTCGGGCATGGTGGCACATGCCTTTAATCCCAGCACTCAGGAGGCAGAGGCAGGTGGATCTCTGTGAGTTCAAGGCCAGCCTGGTCTACATAGTGGTTCCAGGACAGCTGGGGCTACAGGGAGACCCTGTCTCAAAAAGACCAAAATATTAAAAATTAAAAACCCAGGCATGGTGGCTCACACCTTTAATCCCAGTATTTGGGAGGCAGAGGCATACAGATTCCTGAGAGATCTAGGCCAGCCTAGTCTACATAGTGAGTTCCAGGCCAGCTGGGGCTACAGGGAGTGCCTGTTTTATCTCCCAATTTAAAGATACACTCTATCTTGGTGGGGAAGGCACGAGGAATGTGAGGTGGCTGCATTGCATCCACAATCAGGAAGCCAAGAGAGATGAATGCTGGTGCTCAGATCCCTTTCTCCTTTTCCAGTCTGGAACCCCCAGTCCATGGAATAGTGCCACCCACATTTAAGGTGGGTCTTCCCTTCTCAATTAAACATCTCTAAAACACCTTCTTAGACTTATTCAGTGGTGTATTTTCATAGTGATTCTTTTTATTATTGTTTGAATCTTAAATGCCTTTATTAGCCTATATTAATTACATATAATAATGGGTATCTTTTTTTTTGTCTTTTTGAGACAGGGTCTCCTTGTAGCACCAGCTGTCCTTGAACTCACTATGTAGACCAGGCTGGCCTCGAACTCACAGAGATCCCCCTGCCTCTGCCTCCCGAGTGCTGGGACTAAAGGCATGCGTCACCACGCCTGGTTTAATAATGGGTCTCTTTATGACATTTTCACACATGCAAATAATGTATTTTGACCTATTCACTCCCCTTTATCCTCTCTTCTCCCATCCTCTCTGATCCTCTTCTTAATTACTCTTTATTCTACTTTAATGTTTTTTTCTTTTTAAAAAAATTTTTTATTTGTGTGTGTGTGTGTGTCCATATGAGTTTCAGGAGGATGTGTGAGATGTTATTTACAAAAGCATGGGCACCTCATCAGTGGCTACACTACTAAAGAAAATGTCTGCCTCTCCCCCATCAATCATCTACTGCCTATAGCTATTCAGGGAGGGGTGGAGCTTTGTGAGCTCCTCCCCTTTCCATGACAGGATGTTGGTGGATCCAGGCTTGTGCCGGTAATTATAACTGCTGTGAGTTACAGAGTGCAATGGTCATTTTATTCCTGGAAGACAGCATTCCATAGTACTCTACCTCAACCCCTGGCTTTTACATTCTTTCCACCTTCTCTTTTGTGATGTTCCCTGAGCCTTGGAAGGGGTGGTATAGTGTCCCATTTATGGCTGAGTATTCAACAGTCACTTATTCTCAGCACTTTGACCAGTTATCAGTCTCTACAGTTATCACTGCTACAAAAAGAAACATCTCTGACCAAAGCTGACAGCATCACTAAGCTGTGGGGATAAATGTAATTATTTAGAAAGCAATTTGACAGGCACATCATTTCCATTTAGCAAAATAAGTAGCTGCTTCCTCAGTAGGGCCTATGACCTCCTTAGCTACAGTCTTTTGACCAAGTTTACAATACCAGATCCAAATTCCTTCATGTGGAGCAAATTCAATTCCAATTAGAAAGTGGTTGGTTACTCCCATGTCAGACTTGCCGCTATTGCACCAATGGGCATATCTTTCCTGACTGGTCAGTAATGTTGTACACAGGGCCCACAGTTGAATAAAACTATTAACAATTCTCCCCCAGCAGCCTGTATAGGCACCTTCCTGTTTGTGAAGGCCAGCCAGCAGGGAGAAAGATTCCATCTCAGTTCCAGGTTGGTTTCTCTATGTCCTGTGACCAGAACATGTGGTGTTTTCAGCAATATGCTCTTACCATCTATTTTGGTGAACAGCCCACCACAGTGTCCATGGTGATTCTAAATCTAATAAAGTTAACAATGAAGATGAACTACAATAAACATTTAGACTTCTTCAGTCTATGTGATTTTTTACTTTATAATCCTCAAATCTAGGGAAAATGTGGTTGGCTTCAAGGTTGACAGATTCATCAAGTAAAAAATGCATAGAGCTGGGTGTGGTGGTGCATGCCTTTAATCCCAGTACTAGGAACAAAGAAGCAGGCAAATCCTTGTGATTTCAAGGCCAACCTGTTCTACATATCAGCTACTTAGTGAGATCCTGTCTCAAAAACAAACAAAAAGAGAATATAGGTCATTCAGCAAATCCTAGGTCAATTTTGAAGCTCAGATAAACATTTAGAGCCCCTTCATATAAAAATGGGTAGCTATCTGGGTGTGGTAGTGCATAGCTTTAATCCCAGTACTTGAGAGGCAGAGGTGGGCAGATCTCTGTCCACACAGCGAGTTCCAGGCCAGCAGGAGCTACAAGGAGACCCTGTCTCAAAAAGACAAAGGGGCTAGAGAGCTCACTCAGCAGTTAAGAGCACTGGCTGTTCTTCCAGAGGACCCAGGTTTGATTCCCAGCACCTACATGGTGACTAACAACCATCTGTAACTCCAGTTCAGAGGATCTGATGACACCCTCTTCTGGCCTCCGTGGGCATTGTATGACACAGTTGCACTTACATACATGCAGGGCAAACACTCATACATAAAATAAATCAAAAACATTTTTTTTTCAGAGCTGAGGACCGAACCCAGGGCCTTGCGCTTGTTATCAAAAACATTTTTAAAGATAAAAAATGTGTAGCTAATCCTTATGACATACTAAAACAGTATTTGTTGTTTATATAATTCAGAATAAACTAACACCTGTATTTTATCCAGTACGTATACCTCAAGGGATCCTTGAAATGATACAGATATTCTAGGACATTTTAGCTGAACCACAGCCAAGACACAGATCCTGTAAATAGATGAACTATGTCAGATGTCAGATAAATGTATGGATTGTTGTGAGATCTCAGATACTGATAGGCAAGGTTAGAGATTTTAAAATGGAGCTGGGAATGTAGCTCAGGAGGGAAGTATGTGCCTAGTGTGCACAAGGCCCTATATTT